CTCATTTTATACAAAAACAGTTAATTTTCTGAACATTTAGAAATAAGTAGAGCTCAGTGGAACACTGAGTCGTTTCGTAAAATCTATTGTTAAATAACCCGTGAAACTGGACTAACACCTGTGCATATTGACATTTGTAGTTTTTATTATGAGCTTAAACTTACTTATCGCAGCGCATGCAAATAAATGAAATTTAATTGGTAAATTTTTAGCAACATTGAATAAAAACTTTGATTTGGTATAATGATAATGGGATTGGATAATGATTATGAAAACTGGACTAAAACCTTAAAAAATGTAGTCCATGCCCATTCTAAAGGCTAATAATACAACATTCTTTGACGTTTGCATTAATTTTAGCTAATACATTCTATCTTTCTCTTTTGTACACACAATTATTCTAATGTATACTTCCATGGCCATTCACATTAAATTTGTTCCTATTTGATTTTATTTAAAGTTAACAAATTTAAGTGATACTTCAATTTTAAATTTAAACCACAACTTCAGTTATTTTATTTTAACAATAACATAACGACATTCTAATTGTGCTGGTGGCTGTTCTCTTTTTTACTGAACGAAATCACAGTCTACCTGAAGGTAAGTGGAAGCTGTGGTCCATAGACATTTACATCTATCCTCAAATTAAGAATCAAAATGAAAACGCGTTGTCACCCTTTAAGACAGATGGAACTCCAGTAATCTCCGGATATCTACACTCACCATACGAAACACAGCAGTATTTACGCGGGCATTTAGTAAGAGCGTGGGCTTTCCCCGGTCGAGCCAACCCTTTTGTGCTACAACCATAATATACTGCAGCGTGATGCTACTAAGTATAATTTCTATCTGGCAATTATGAGCGAAGATATAATATTGTTACACAAAACTGTAAGTTTATTTCTCACACTAACTATGAGCTAACACATCTTGATTTTATAGTACCCTTAAAATTAGAAAACGATTTTCGAGGGAACCACAGCAAGTTTGATTTGAACCACAGTTTTATTTGTATTTAGTACTTGTTCCGTGAGGAAGAAAAATATCTTGAGATTACTTCAAAGTACGGATTTAGTGTTCAGAGTTAAGCAGCGTGGGCTCTTTTCTACTGGACGACTATCTCGTAGGCAAGAGGAAATCTGTTCCTATGTATGGAAGTGGAACTTGTATAAAATAAGGCTATTTGATTATTTTAAATCCACAAACTTTTATTTTTAAAAACTAAAATGACATTTTTAAAACTTTCTCCTGCCATGATGCAATGCAGCACACACGACTCGTAAATTTTATTTTAAAGGCAGTACGAATAATGAACACACTGATGTTAGCGATGGTTTTGGGTTTAGTCGCTTTAACTTCAAACCATTTCAAACAAATTAGGGATTACCTAAATCGATAGACGTAGCGTATAGAGAATAATGACGTTGTCCTAGCCTATTCCAGCAACAATTGGAAACTGTCAACAGAATTATAAATAACTAACCATGAGTCATTTAATGTTTTACAGTTAGAAAAAAAAACAAATAATACATTGTTCAGTTTACACCGAACACATTATGTACGCGTAGGCATTTTACTTTAAAGTTTTTATTTAAGTCAGTACATGTACGGACGCCAACATTGTCTCGTGTGTGCTCACATACATAACATTTATAAACATATAACATTTATAAACATTGTAACAATAATATTATAACAATATAATAAACATTTTGTGCATAAACAGTATTTTAAGTAACATTTACATCAAAAGGTGTTGAATACCACAACATCTTTTTGGTCCTTCGAGAGTGAAGTGTGATTGTGATTTTTTCGGTGATAGCGAATCGGTTTGTCTGGCCTCCCAGAAGCGGGTCTCACTAGGCAGATTGAGAAGGCGCATAATATATCGCTGGAAGTTCATCGTCACACGGACCGCAAACAGGAAGCGATCAGTTCACTTAACACTTAGCGAATACCTATCAACAACAACATCATGGAAGATTTACAAGCAAATCAACAACAGATGGTTTCTGGTATGGAGCAGCTGCTCAGCAACTTCAAAAAGGACGGCGCCGATCGTAGGACTGCTGCTCATATCAAAAAACGACTGGAGACTTTGGATACTTACTGGCAGGAATTTCACAACCTTCACCTCCAGGTACGTGAGTTGTGTGATGAAAACCATTCCTACATTGTACAGAATCAATACGGACAAGTTCTTGATTTTTATACAAAAACAAAAGACTACATACAAAGTTTCTTACCAACTGAAGACAAATCAAGACCCTCTACTCCGATCATAAAACCATCAAATTTAAACCCCCCGCCATCAACGTCGTCAGCAACACCGCGACAGGTGGACCGCAGTATTAACAGCAAGCTGGATGAGATGTTGCGTAAGCAAAGTAGCAATTTTAGAGCTTCTAAGCGAACGTTAGCAAACATTGACTTGGATTTGTTAACCGATAACTGGGAATTAGAAGATGCTCTGAAGACCTTGAGTGTTAGATGGAACCGTATCGACTCCCTTCATTGGGAGCTCGACAGCGAGCTGGAGGGTACTAACGTAGCATACGAACAAGAATTTTCCGTCCATGAGAGAAGCTTTAGTGACATAAAGAAGGCAATCAACAAGAAAATATGGTCAACAGCTCATCAGGAACAATTTACACCAAAGCTTGATATTCCTATCTTCAACGGGAATTATCACCAATGGGTTCCGTTCAAAGATCTATTTACGGAATGCATTCATAACAATCGCTCCCTTTCCAGTGCTCAAAAAATGCAGTTTTTAAAGAGCAAGGTCAGGAGAGAGGCGGAGCGTCTGATACAACACCTACAGATCAGCTCGGATAATTATATTATGTGTTGGGACATTTTAAACAACCGATACAATAACCCGAAACTTATATTCACTTCTCACATGAACATATTAATGAGTTTGCCAGTTCCCCATCAAGCATCAGTGACCAACATCAAGAAAATTCACGACACTACGCAGGAATGCTTAAATGCAATAAAAAACCTAGGAATTGACATAAGCACCTGGGATCCGATTATTGTTTACCTGTTGACTCAAAAACTCGATAACGAAACTCATCATGATTATGTTCAATCTTTGAAATGTCCCCGGGAACTGCCAAAATTACAAGAATTTCTCAAGTTTTTGGAACAAACATTTACGTCGATGGAGTCTGGACGTAGAAAACAAGACAACACTCATCAAAAATCACACATTCCAAGTAATCAAAATCAGTATCCGAAAACTTCGAAATCGAATTATTTCAAACAATCATACGCCAGTAATCGAGTAACAACCCAGCATCCATCCAACATCTCGTCGAGGGGTTCTGCGTCACCTAACTTACAAGCTGTTAAAAACAAGAATTTCATAACATATACATGCCCACTCTGCAGTAAGGATCATGGACTATTCTTTTGTCAAGAATTTTTGGACATGTCTCCACAAACAATACGTAAAACAGTAACAAAATTAAATGTTTGCCAAAACTGTCTTTTTAATCATCAAGGTAAAGCATGCCTTTCAGAGAAGCGGTGTCGTGAATGCAACGAAAATCATAACACTATGTTACATGACGCCTTTCGGTCATATTCAAACAAGCCGCAAAACAATGCGAATGTGAAAAACAAGTCGTCGATGTCGTCAGAAGTGGAAAATAATCGTGTCAGCATAAGTAACTCCAACGTTACTCAACAAAACAACGATATGACAGAAATTTTATTAGCGACAGCGATGCTCAAGGTGCGGGCCGCAGATGGTACTTATAAAATAATGCGCACACTTATTGATCAGGGTTCGCAAGTCTCAATAATATCTGAGAATGCGGCCCAGCGACTAGCACTTCCTAGACGAAACTGCAAAGGTAGTATTTATGGGGTTGGTGTTAAACCTAATAGCTGTAAAGGAGTACTTCACTTAACATGCTCATCAATGGACGACAACTACGTTTTTGACACGTCGGTATTTATCATGCAAAATCTTATCAAACAATTACCAAATTCAACATTTGCTAAACCTTCGTGGTCATTCTTGAACAATATACAACTAGCTGACCCAGACTTCAACATCAGCAGACCGGTGGATCTTCTTCTGGGTGCTGACATATATTCTTCCAGGTAATATTATTATATTACCTGGAATATGCAGAGAAGAAGATCAATCTGTGCCGATTGCCCAACAGACTCGGCTCGGCTGGATTTTGTGTGGAAATACAAAAACATACCAATGCAATGTAATTTTGAACAACATCGAACAAATCGAAAAATTTTGGGAAACAGAGGACATTACTGAGCATTTCGACTTATCAGAAGAAGACCTTCAATGTATTCAATACTATGAAGAAACAACAAAACGACTGAGTGATGGTAGATACGAGGTCAGACTCCCACTCAAACCAGGATATGAAAAACAATTGGGTTCGTCCAAAAATAAGGCAATCGCACATTTTTTAAGCATGGAAAGAAAGTTTAGAAAAAACAAGAGTTTTGAGCAAAATTACAAAGCCTTCATTCATGAGTACCTAGCGCTGGGACATATGAAACCCGCTGATTCAATGGGTCGACTCGAATGTTATATACCTCACCACGGCGTACAACGACCGGAATCGACAACTACGGCCTTGCGAGTAGTGTTCAATGGCTCATGCAAGACTTCAACAGGTTCGAGTCTCAATGATGTTATGTATGCAGGTCCAAACTTACAGCAAGACCTTCAGGAACTGTTGATCAAGTGGCGACAGTTTGAGATAGTATTTACGGCTGACATTGAAAAGATGTTTCGCCAAATATGGATTCATCAAGATGACCAGCTTCTCCAAAAAATAATATGGAGAGATTGTCCAAGTTCTGCATTACAAGACTTACAACTATGCACAGTCACCTATGGCACAAAAGCTGCCCCATTTTTGGCCATGATGACGCTTAAACGATTAGCAAACGATGAACGAAGAAATGATTACTCCACCACTGCAATCCAGTCCCTGGAAAAAGCAATGTACATGGACGACCTGCTGTATGGAGCCCATTCTATGACGTCAGCATTGGAATTACAACAAGAGCTTATTCGCCTGCTTCAGTCTGGAGGATTCAACTTAAGAAAATGGAATTCCAACAAAGAGGAACTACTTAACATCAACAACAACCAAGACAACAAAAATTTTAATTTTAAACATGCACATTCATCGAAAACACTTGGACTCAGCTGGATTTCTAAACAAGATATTTTCACATTCCAAACAAAAATTACTGACTCTGAGAAGAAATGTACAAAGCGAAGTCTTTTGTCAGAAATTTCGAAACAGTTCGATCCAATCGGCTTGATTGCTCCTATAACAGTGGTAGAGCCAAGCGGTAGCTTTTGCTGTCGCACGGATGGGCCAGCTCGAACCGGGGTGGTACCACGACCTCACAGAATACCAGCGTGAAGTAGAGGTTTACCTCTGCGTTGCGTTTGGTGAGTGCAGGTGGCCGGAGGCCCAATTCCCCCCCCCCCCCCCCCCATCAACATGGTAGTGGAATTAAATACAAGACTACCCCAGGAGGGTACCAGCAACCCTGGAGAATCCCTCGCTGAGCATCCACGAACAAACTACTTCACTCCTGAGCGTGGGTGCTCAGGCTGCCCCGCGTATTCTGGGGGGGGCAAAATTCCGCTCGTGACTAATGCTGCTCGGGGCAAGCGGAGCAATACAACCAAGGCGACCCCTGTCACGCTATCCGTGAATTTTTGCAACATCAGGGGACTTCATTCCAACCTTAACGCTGTCCATTACCATCTAGAGACGGCGAAGCCGGCCTTGCTCTTTTTAACCGAGACTCAGGTGTCCTCTCCGGCTGATACTTCATATCTCTCCTACCCGGGGTACAAATTGGAACACTCCTTTGTGCCCCGGGCTGGAGTTTGTGTATACGTCAGAGAGGACATCTGTTTTCGACGCCTCGGCAGCCTTGAAGGTACGGACCTGTCCATCCTATGGCTGCGCGTAGACAGCGACGACCATCCCCGCGTCTACGGGTGCCTCTATAGGTCCCATAGCGGTAATGCCGACACAGACCGACTCATCGACCACGTCCAAATGGCTGCAGACTCCGTGCTACAACAGGTCCCATCCGCAGAGATCGTGATACTCGGTGATTTCAACGCCCACCACGCTGAATGGCTTGGTTCTCGTTCAACCGATCATGCGGGTAGATCTGTCTACGACTTTGCTTTGGCATATGGTCTAACACAACTGGTTACTTCGCCTACGCGGATCCCAGATGTGGAAGACCATGTACCTTCCCTGTTGGACCTTCTGCTGACCTCTCATCCGGACGGATATCAGGTCTCCGTCGATGCCCCTCTGGGCTCTTCGGACCATTGTCTGATCCGGAGCACAGTGCCACTCACGCTCCAATCGCAGTTGCGATCTACAGCTTGCCGCTGTGTTTGGCACTATAGGTCAGCTGATTGGGACGGGATGCGGTCTTTTTTTGCATCCTACCCTTGGGGGCGGGTTTGCTTCTCGCCGGAAGATCCCAGCGTTGTTGCCGATTCTGTTGCTGATGTGGTACTTCAGGGTATGGAACTTTTTATTCCATCCTCTGTGGTGCCCATCGGAGGCAGATCCCAGCCATGGTTTGGTCGCTCCTGTAAAATAGCATCACGCTATAAGCAGGAGTGCTACCGGGCCTGGGCTGACGCATCAACGTCTCGGGATTTAAACACCAGCGCACTTAAAAAGAAGTATAATTCCGCCTCCAGGTCCTTCAAAAGCGTCATTGCCAAGGCAAGGTCTGAGCACATCGGCAGAATTGGCGAGAAGCTAGTTCGCCTTCCTTCGGGAACCCGTGCATTCTGGTCTCTCGCCAAGGCTGTCCAAGGGAACTTCTGTCAGCCATCCCTCCCATCTCTGCACAGAGAGGACGACTCACTGGCCCATGCCGCAAAAGAGAAAGCCGATCTGTTGTGCTCTCTTTTTGCGTCCAACTCGACTCTAGATGACGGGGGGAACACACCGCCGACCATCCCGCGATGTGAGTGCTCCATGCCGGATGTGCGATTTACACAGCGCTCGGTTCGCAAAGCACTCTTCTCCCTGGACGTCAGCAAGTCGAGTGGGCCCGATGGAGTCCCTCCCATTGTGCTGAAGACGTGTGCTCCGGAGTTGGCACCGGTTTTAACGCGTCTTTTCCGGTACTCCTACTCCCAAGGCGTAGTCCCGAATTCATGGAAGACAGCTTTGGTCCACCCGATCCCTAAAAAAGGCGACCGCTCAGACCCGTCCAACTACAGGCCTATCGCCATCACCTCCTTGTTCTCCAAAATAATGGAATCCATTATAAACTGCCAGCTCATGAGGTACCTTGAGGATCACCAGCTGATCAGTGACCGTCAGTACGGTTTTCGTCGGGGTCGATCAGCAGGTGATCTTTTAGTTTACTTAACTCATAGATGGGCGGAGGCAGTAGAGTCCAAGGGGGAGGCATTGGCCGTTAGTTTGGACATAGCGAAGGCCTTCGATCGGGTCTGGCACAAGGCGCTTCTTTCGAAGCTTCCTTCCTATGGGCTTCCCGAGAAATTGTGCAAATGGATCACCAGTTTCCTTGCTGATCGGAGCATCAAGGTCGTAGTAGACGGTGCATGCTCTGATTACAAGCCTATCAACGCTGGTGTTCCACAAGGCTGCGTGCTATCACCAACGCTGTTTCTCCTGCATATCAATGATATGCTGCTAACTGGTAGCATTCATTGCTATGCAGACGACAGCACTGGGGATGCCTTATATACCGGCCGTGCCAATATTTCTCGGGAAAACGTCGCCGAGTACCGGGACAAACTTGTGTCTGAAGTCGAGTCTTTGCTTAACAAAGTCTCGGATTGGGGCCGACTAAATCTAGTCCAGTTCAATCCCCAGAAGACACAAGTTTGCGCGTTTACCGCTAAAAAGAACCCCTTTGTCGTATCTCCTCAGTTTCAAGGCACTCCCCTTGCTGCCTCAGCCAGTATCGGAATCCTTGGCGTCGACATATCGAATAGCGTGCAGTTTCGTGGTCACTTGGAAGGGAAGGCCAAATTGGCCTCTAAAAAGCTTGGCGTGCTCAGCAGAGCGAGACAGTATTTCATGCCGGCACATCGCTTGCAACTTTACAAAGCGCAAGTTCGGCCCCACATGGAATACTGTTCTCATCTCTGGGCCGGGGCACCCCAGTGCCAGCTCCTTCCACTTGACCGCATCCAGCGCAGAGCGATTCGAATCGTCGACGACCGAGTTCTTTCCGATCGGCTCGATACACTGGCACTGCGTAGAGATGTTGCATCTCTTTGCGTATTTTATCGCATCTATCACGGGGAGTGCTCTGAGGAATTGTTCGGACTAATTCCAGCCGCTCAATTTCACCATCGCACGTCGCGACAAAACTCGCGTTACCATCCATACCATCTGGATGATTGGCGGTCCACCACTGTGCGATTTAGAAGAAGTTTTCTCCCTCGCACAACTTCTTTGTGGAATCAATTACCACCAGCGAATTTTCCGAACCGATACGACTTAGGAACCTTCAAGAAAAGAGCTTACACCTTTCTAAAAGGCCGGCAACGCATCTGCAATTCCCCTGGTGTTGCGGTTGTTCATGGGCGGCGGTAGTCACTTAACATCAGGTGAGCCGCATGCTCGTTTGCCCCCTATTCTATAAAAAAAAAAAAAAAAAAAAAAAAATAACACTGAGACTAAAACTTCTCTTCCAAAAAGTATGGCAGCTGAATCTTCAGTGGGATGATGAACTACCCGAAGAAATCCTAGTAGAATGGATAAACATGAAACATGGCATCAAAATGATTGATCAACTACAAATACCTAGATGGTTGGGAACAAAAGAAAATAGCTTAGTCGAATTGCATGGTTTCTGCGATTCGTCGGAGAGAGCATTCGGCTGCGCCATATATTGCAGAACAAGCAAAAATCATCATTCAATGGTGGTGTTAGTTGCCGCCAAAACTCGACTAGTACCCATCAAAAAGCCTATCACTATACCAAGGCTCGAATTAAATGCCGCAGTTTTATTATCAAAATTGATGAACAAGGTTGTCAACTGCCTAAGTACGTACAACATACAGAGCTTTGGTTGGTGTGACTCCACCGCTGTTCTAGGCTGGTTGCACGGAGACGCTGCACGATGGAAGCCTTTCGTGGCAAACAGGGTCAAACAAGTGATCACAAATATGCCCCCCGCCTGCTGGCGCTATGTGAAGTCGGAGGAAAATCCAGCAGATTGCGCCAGCAGGGGCTTAACAGCAGGACAACTAAAAGGCCACCCGCTTTGGTGGCAAGGGCCCTCTTGGCTACTAACATATAAACAAGATGTAGAAAACAACCCTATGTATACAACCAACGAAGAGGAAAAGCAAGTTTTAGTAGCTCAGAAAGCAAAAGAAGAAGAAAAAAGCTACATTTTACCGCAACTTATAGAAAAACAAAGCTCATTTACACGCTTAGTAAGAATATTAGCATGGATTCTACGAGTCAAAAAAGATAAAACTAAACAGAGGCAGCCCTACCTAACAATATCAGAGTTACAAACAGCTACTAATTTATTAATAAAACATGTGCAATCAGCCGAATTCAAAGACGATATCAATAACATTACGCAAAATAAACAAGTACCGAAAAAGAGCCCATTATCAAAGTTGAATCCGTTCATAGATAAAAATGGCATCTTAAGAGTAGATGGCAGATTAGAACTCGCAAATATCACATATAATATGAAACATCCAATAATTTTGCCGAACAGAAGCCGTTTTACACAATTACTGATTGATAGCGCGCATAAGATCACATTTCATGGCGGCGCGCGATTGACGTCAGCGTTCATTCGACAAAAGTACTGGATTGTTGGCGGAAATCGAACAATTAAAAGGTTAATAAGAACCTGTATAACCTGTCGACGTCACGCTCCCAGCATACAACCCCAGATCATGGGTGATTTGCCTGAAGCCAGGACAAACCCCTCCCGTCCTTTTTATCATACAGGAGTTGACTACACGGGTTACGTGGACGTCAAGGCAAGCAAGGGTCGAGGCATAAAAACAAACAAGGGTTATGTGGCTGTATTCGTGTGCATGGCAACAAAGGCCGTGCACCTCGAACTCGTGTCCGACCTCACGTCGTCAGCATTTTTGGCCGCACTGCGTCGTATGGCAGCTCGTCGAGGCGCGCCGCGTCACATATATTGCGACAACGGCACTAACTTCGTCGGTGCTAGCCGTGTTCTAGAACAAAACATAAAGCAGCTTAAAGAAAATATTTCTGATCCAGAATTCTTAACTGAACTTACGAAAATGGAGATCGAATTCCACTTCAACGCTCCTTCTTGGCCATCAGCGGGAGGACTCTGGGAGGCTGCGGTCAAGAGCCTGAAATATCACATCAAACGTGTTATCGGAGAGCAAAAATTAACATTCGAAGAGTACTCAACGATACTTACTCAGCTAGAAGCGTGCCTTAATACTAGGCCGCTGTGTGCATTAACTGAGGATGTGGAGGACCTGGACTTCTTAACGCCTTCGCATTTCTTAACTGGAACAGCTGATGTAACCATACTGGAAACAGAACACGACGCGCGAACAAGATGGAACTTAACAGAAAAACTAATGGCTGATATCTGGAAGCGCTGGAAATCGGAATACCTTACACAACTTACCGTTCGAAACAAATGGAAGCAGTCGACATCTAACATTCAAGTCGGTCAATTGGTGACAATTCAAGAAGATAACTTACCTGCTGGAAAATGGTTGACAGGTCGAGTTATACATTTACACCCAGGAAAAGATGGTTTCGTTCGAGTTGTCTCCTTGAAAACAAAAAACGGAATTTTAAAACGGCCAGTTACCAAATTATCCATACTGCCACTACGAGTGAATTGAAAACCGGACCTGAAATTTATACGCCTGAAATCGCTGCTATTAACCAAATTATCAAGCTCTCTATCCCAGAAACAGGAGAGTTGGAAAAAGACGCTGACAGTTTCCAAGCCAACCTAACCACCTTGAACGAAAACATCAAACACCTAAAATCCCAAAATGTGATCGCTGAAAACATAACATTCCATGACATACATCATTACGTCGCGATTTACATCCTGGTGGGAGTGGCTGTGATAGCTGCTATATGCCTTGCCTGCAAACGACTACGACAAAGAAGAAACACGGCTATCACTTCAAGTATTAGCCTCGATAACATAACCACGAAAGGTCTAAGCTCAGCTCCTGTGGCTGCGCTGGTCGCCCCGAGAGCGCAGCGCGCCGCTGCAGTGCCCGCCCCGAGAACGCAACCCGTCGCCGCCAGCACCGAGCGTGCGTCCTCACCCGCGGTCCCGAACGCGTTCAACACTCAAGACCGAGCAACAACTCCTATATTGCGAACTCTCATTCTTAAACGCGATGAAGAATAATTTTATACCTAACTTTTCTCAAATAATTTTACTTTTTTATGTATTTTTAGTTTATCTCCCTTGTTGTGCGAGAAGATGTTCAGTTTACACCGAACACATTATGTACGCGTAGGCATTTTACTTTAAAGTTTTTATTTAAGTCAGTACATGTACGGACGCCAACATTGTCTCGTGTGTGCTCACATACATAACATTTATAAACATATAACATTTATAAACATTGTAACAATAATATTATAACAATATAATAAACATTTTGTGCATAAACAGTATTTTAAGTAACATTTACATCAAAAGGTGTTGAATACCACAACATACATTTTGTTTTATTATTTCACTTGCCAAAAATGTTACACTGATATTAAACTATCATCATTCATCATCATTACAGCCCTTCACAAGTCCACTGCTGAACATAGGCCTCCCCCAAAGAATGCCACAAAGCACGGTCCTGAGCCACCTGCATCCATCGACTTCCTGCATGTCTTACCAGGTCGTCACTCCATCTCGTAGGGGGACGCCCTACACTTCGCCTACCGGTACGAGGCTGCCACTCGAGAACCTTTCTTCCCCATCGGTTGTCGGTTCTTCGAGCTATATGGCCGGCCCACTGCCACTTCAGCTTACTAATCCGTTGGGCTATGTCGGTCACTCTGGTTCTACTGCGGATATCCTCATTCCTAAGTTTATCACGCAGAGAAACTCCGAGCATAGCCCTCTCCATAGCTCGCTGAGCGACCTTGAGCTTCCTCATACGGCCAGCAGTGAAGGACCACGTCTCAGTTCCGTAAGTCATCACTGGCAACACGCACTGGTTGTACAATTTCGTTTTAAGGTTTTGAGGTATGTCTGACGAGAAGATGTGTCGTAGCTTCCCGAACGCTGCCCAGCCGAGTTGAATCCGTCGATTGACCTCTCGGTCGAAGTTGGACTTACCTAGTCGGACTATTTGTCCCATATTAAACTAACTAATGCCTAAACACTCAAACGCTACTCAATTTTAAGATGGCGTTAATTCTCGTGCTCTCTCTATCACTTTAAGTTAAAGTGACTGTAACACCACGATATTTAACGACATATAATATTAAAGTCAAATTGACTGTATCACTACGATATTTAACGACATCTTAATATTGAGTATTTTTTGATTATTTGGCTATGAATTAATTTTCTTAAGCCCTGAACTACCTGCATCCATAGACTTCCTGCATCTCATACCAAATCGTCACTCGGTCTATTGAGCGATCGATACGAGGCTGCCACTTGAGAATCTTTATTCCCCATAGATTGTTGGTTCTTTGAGATATTTGATTAGCCCATTGCAACTTCACCTTACTGATATGTTGGAGCATGTCGGTTTATCCGGTTCTACTGCAGATATCCTCATTTCTAAGTTTATCACACAGAGAAACTCCGTTCTAAATAAATAAACTAATTTAATAAAAATAGTTTTAAATTATTCTGAAACTGATTATAAGTTCATAAACAAAGCTATGACAACTATATAAAAAACCCCACTTGAAAATTAAAATAATACAAATGCCTCTATTCACACAATACTGAATGGATTGTTGTCCAATATGTTACGCGATGGTATCAAATTGACAACAGTGGATGAATGCATGAAATGAAATGTATTATTATACAAACAGCGACAAGGCTTGACAGAATGGTACAATAGTTTTAGGTATAAGAATTGAATATACTGTTAAACATTGTTATAAATTTTTAGATTCGTAACGTAACAAAAATATAACGTAAATATAATATAGAATGTGTTACAAGCTGAAATACATTTCAATCATTACAGCCTATCAAAAGTCCACTGCTTAACATAGGCATCCCCTGTGGATTGCCGTATAGGGTGATATTTTCCATAGTTACCACGCTACCGCTAGACGTCTACCGCAGTTTTTTATTATTTTGGGGTTTTATCAGGAAAATGCTACTGTCCATCTCCTGTTAAATTTTTTCACTGTCACTTCTTACGTCATTCACGAGATGACATCATAAGTAAGGTAGTGAAGTCTCTTACGCCGCCACGATACGGTAACTGTGATTCAATTTTTTTTTTATAGGATAGGGTGACAAACGAGCACACAGTCCACCTGATGGTAAGTGGTTGCTGTGGCCAATAGACATCTACATCTATCCTCGATTGCGAATCAAAATGCAGATGCGTTGTCACCTGTGAGGACTAAGATGGAATGCCTCTTTTCCAGTAAAAAGAGTCTCCGGTTCTCTACACTCACCATACGAAACACAGCAGTGTTAAGCTGCTATTTGACGTTGGTATTCTATGAGAGCGTGGTCCTTCCCTGGTCGAGTCGACCCATTCGTGCTACAATTATAGCTGCAGCATGGCTCTACCACGTACAATATTGACACTAATCTATCATATATTGTGAATACGAGTCATTTTGGTCCTTAAATAAAGAGATTTTAAAATCTTTATTTATCGGATTCTAGCATAGCTACCATATAGCAAATATCCTGTTGACAAAAATATTATGTGAATATTGATTATAATCTCAATCGGTCAAGTAATTCAGAAGTTACACGATTAGTAACAGACGCAACATCGATTATATACGGTAAAATAATTTTCTTGTAAATATCCAAACTTTCGAGTATGGCAAAATTTCGAGCATTAGAATCAGAAAACAACCTGGTGTAGGTCTCGTGTGTCTGCGACCAAAATAAACTTACATTTTTGATAACGCCAGTATTTCTTCATTAGATCAATTGATAGTAGGCCAAAATTATTATTTTTTTACATGTTTCAAACACATTTCAAAGATTTGTGGCTTTCGAGGAACTCTTAAAGGAAATTGACGGGTCGTATAATTTTTGGCTTCATTACTTACAGCTATTTAAACGTTTTCATTATGGCTTAATAGTTAAAAGAATGGGCTCCGACTCGTCAGTTTCCTGTAAGAAAACTACAAATCCTTGAAATGTGTCCGAACCTAAAACTATTGTACCCTTGTCACTGTTTGTGTAATAATACATTTTTCATGCATTCAAGTCAATTTGAAACTATCGCGTAACAAATTGGACAATCTTTTTAGTATTGTGTAAATAAAGGTATTTTTTATTATTTTAAGTATTATTTTAATTTTAAACTGGGGTTGATTATATAGTTGTCGTAGCTTTGTATATGAACTTATAATCAGTTTCAGTATAATTTAAAACTATTGTTATGAAATTAGTTTAGTTATTTAGAACGGAGTTTCTCTGTGTGATAAAATTAGAAATGAGGATGTCCGCAGTAGAACCTGATAAAACTGACGTGCCTCAACATATCAGTAAGCTGAAATTGCAATGGGCTAACCATATAACTCTAAGAAACAACAATCGATGGGGAATAAACTTTCTCAAGTGGTAGCCTCGTATCGATAAGCCAAATGTAGGATGGCCGCTAATTAGATGGAGTGACGATCTGGTATGAGATGCAGGAAGTCGATTAATGCAAGTGGTTCAGGGCTTAAAAAAGTTAATTAATGGAAAAAATGCCTACTCAATATTAAGATATCCTTAAATCTCGTGACATTATAGTCACTTTGACTTAAAATGATAGGGAGAGCACGACTCACACATGTATATATACATATACAGCATTCTTCAGGTCAGGGATTTGAAAACCTTCCTGCTGTAAGAGTCCAAAGTTATACTTTTGGTAACTTGAGATAAAAAGTTTTAATTGCGACGTATTCCCGGTAGTTAAAAATATATGTTTTAAAACTGGCGATATTATTCCGGAATATTTGGATATGATTCTTTTGTATTTTGAAAAAGTGTTTTGGCTATGATTAACAATTGCAATTAGCCTACTTACAGAAACATTGTGTTCTAATGTGGATAAAATATATATATTACACAATATTTAAAATATACTAGGCCGTGTAGTGGCGGTTAAGAATATCCACTACCCCATATCTTCCCGTGGGTGTCGTAAAAGGCGACAAAGGGAACAGGCAGAAGATGGGCAGCAGCATCTTCCTGATAACAACAAACTTACAATAAAAAACTGCGGTTGCCAACCCGCTCGCCAAGCGTGGCAACTATGGCAAATACCCCCCTTTGGGGGAGGCCTATGTTCAGCAGTGGACTTATGAAAGGCTGTAATGATGATGATGATGATGATGAAAATGTACTATGTTGATGATATCTTTGTAGCCGATTCTACTACGATAGCTACAATCGATCCCGGAATCTCTGACCACAAAACTCAGTTAGCAAGTAACAATAATCTAGACTAAAAATTAAATTCAATATACGAAACTTAGACTTATGAACTCTACAAATTTTGTTTAAAGTTCATCGATCACATGAAAGCAAAGGGGTATCTGCAAGCACAATTAAACTCTAGACAACAAGTAACTTTATCATCGAAAGTTGTCTTCAAAGTAACGCATGTGTTACCCCAGATGTTTATTACTAGAAAGCCAATGATTGAGTTATAAGGTGAAG